TAATAGGCCGTATGCCTACCCGAAGTATTTCAAGTTTCACAGGGACAGAACTGAACAGGGTGGAGGACGAGGGGGGGAAGATTTCCATAAAATAACGTAAAATGGATGTTGAAGCTTTTTCTTTGAGCAGAATTTCAGTTCTGTTCCGAGGTACCAACTAATATGTGGCCTATAAAATAAAATGTATGCATTTAATTATATAGGTGCTTCTCCACAAACCAGAAAATTACAGTATTAATTACTAGAGGGGGTAAATGAATGGGATGAACACTCCCTGCACTGCTTAGTTTGATTTTCTTTAGGCTGAAGCAGCTAAACTGGTTCCGATGGGTTTCACCACAGCAACAGAATTCCACCAACGAAGGTCAGAGATCATCCAGATCACCACTGGGTCCAAAGAACTTGATAAACTTCTTCAAGGTAATAATTTTATTTCTCTTTATTGATTAGCCTTCATTATCTCCTTTTTTTTTTTTTTCTATGAACATGGTCCTTGGACAAAAGCACTGAAGCCACACAAGCTCCAGTTGAACAAAAAAGTTCTGCTCTCTTGTATCCCAATTGCTTTTCTTTTAAAAGCAGTAGAAGTAGATTTAAAACCTTTGAGTCATGATGCAATACCCAGAGCTGTTCACTTTGGATGTTTCTAGTTTATTCTAGTCTATGACCTATTTCAATAAAACAAAACTAGGCATCATCTTCTCCCCATTGCTACTTGCAATCAAAAAATCAAAACAAGTCATTTCAGCTTTTCAGCATCTTCAAAAATACACTTACCTAAACTTCTTATCTGCAAAATGAACAAACCTCAGTATGAAAACCAGTTTTTCCAATTAGAGTTTTGAAACTTTTAACCAAAGTAAGTGTTTAACTCAGTCTCTGTAAATGTAATCCTTTATATGTGGTCTTTGTTTGAAGTATGTGATCTTTTTAAAATTATTATTTTTCCTTCAGGAGGAATAGAAACAGGGTCCATAACAGAGTTATTTGGCGAGTTTCGTACTGGAAAAACACAGTTGTGTCATACCCTGGCAGTAACCTGTCAAGTGAGTAGTCCACTTCTTTAAAATCAAGTATTCGGACAGCACAGCTTTTGGTTATTTGCTAATTTGTGCACTTTTCTCAACCAATACAAATGTGATGCGTATCAATAGCTGCAAAGAACGGGAGTATTTGCAGCAGCCTTGGTTGTACTTGCAGCTTTCTAGGATCTTTTGTTTGTTGCTTACTCTGCCTCCTAGGATTAGTTTAGCAGCAATTAAGTTTGTGAGGGTTTTTGCCTGTGTTTGACGTGTTCTGTAGCGCTTTTCTCTTCTTCCCCCCCGCCTTGGTATTCTGACAACAAAATTTAACACGTTAGCCTTGTAGCATAATTGTAGGTCTTAAATGCAGAGAAGCATTTGATCTCTCTTCAGGTACTCTGGACTGCAGAGAACCTTTCTTATCACCAGGAGTGTTGAAAAGAGGGAGGAAACTGTGTTGGGTTCAATGAGTTTCTTTGACTAGCTGCTCTTTTTCCTAATGTATCCTAAGCTTACTTCACTTGACTTTTGTAAAAGCCTTCAGCTGGCTTTTGCTATCAAACAGTAGATCAGTTTGGAGTAACCTTTTTTCCTAATCTTAATTTAAAAAAAGAAGAGTGTTTATTACTTTCTAGAGGTTGCTATTTCATAAAACATGGGAGGCGGTGGGCTTAATTTGGTCAGTTAGTTGACACCCTCATGCACCTAAACTTACCAGCTCAAAGTTAAGCACCTGTCCTCTTACGTAGGTATTGGAGATTTGAAAATGCTTTTTCTTCTCACTTTTCCCAGAGAAATGTGACTTCAGTCACAATAGCTTGGTATGTCATTTATTGTATGATAGCAGTTGAGGGCATAAGGCAGCAACTGGATTATTTGTTGGTACTTTGTCATGTTCATTCATTTGCTTTTCCTTTAGCTTCCCATTGACCGAGGTGGTGGTGAAGGAAAAGCTATGTATATTGACACAGAAGGGACCTTCCGTCCAGAACGTCTGCTTGCTGTGGCTGAAAGGTCTGTACTCGGGGCTAGAAGTAAACTGGTATTAGTTGAAGAAGGGAATACACTTCCTCACGGGACAACTTAGTTAGTGAGGATCACTGTGTAAATCAGCCTGACTCCTTAAATTCATGGGGCTGTTGCAGTAAGAACTGTCCCCAAAAAAACCAGCCAAACAAAAAACCTTTCTGTATTCTAGTTGTCTGCCTGCTTACCTGCGTGTTAGACAGCTTCATTAGCTGTTCTTTATAAACAAAGCTTCTAATTCTAGATATGACAGCAGCTCAATGCACTGGAATATGATGTCTTCACTTCTTACTAGTGTCTCTTTCAAATTCAGTTGTACTGTTGGCGAAATACATTCAAAGATTTTCCTTAAATTCTACCAATAGCATGACCTTGAAACACAGATCCTTTTGTAAAAAGGTTATCGCAACAGCAGCTGGAAAATTTTTGTTAGGAAATGTGAGAGCATCCAGTGACCAGTTGAAAAGCTGTTTTTTCATCTCCTGCCTCTATCTCAGAATGTTCTGATATGTTTTTTATACGAGTTGGAAAGTAAAACTTAATTACCCGAATAAAAACTCTGCTGTCTACACAGAGGTTCTGGTTAGACTTAAAAGCCTGGAGTACTAGTTCCCCACATTAGAAAAAGGAGCTACTTCTGGTCTTGCGATTCGTTAGACTTTCTCAAAATTAAAACTGCTTCTGTGGGGCTTAATTAAAACAACGATCACAGAAAATTAAATATCAAGGTGTATATGCAACTTCTGTGAACTTGGGCTGAAGTATTTATTTATCTTGCAGTGTTATTGATTGCTGAAATTGTGTCAGCTTGAACAGAAAAGTAGCCCAACACTTTGGGATGTGCAGCATGTTGTACCTGACTGAAGTAGGAGAGGAATTCTAAGGGTGCAGGATGTAATTATTCAGACTGGAATTTGCACCTAAGCTTCAGATTAATAATTTCAATTATATGGTAGTTTTAAAAAATATTTCCACCTAGATGCTGATTAGAATGTTCATGTCAGTAAGCTGTGCGCTTTCTTCTGGAAGTAATAAGACGACAAACATTGATTGTTTCTAAGCTGCAAGCCAAAATCATGCAGCGAGGCTGGGCTGATTCGAATACAGAGGCTCAGATGTTCTGCAAAGATATAATCAATTGGCCTGTTTTCTACTACACTTTTGCTAGTCTGATTTAGGTTCATAGTTTTTCAGGTTGTGTATGTGACGTTTTTTAAAAAGTATTTTAAAAACTTTTGTGCAAAAAAGCACCCGTCCTCCTTTTTACCGTGCATTTACAGAAGGAAGACTTATTTGTCAAGTAACTGTGCTTCCTTCAAGCAGCCTTCAAGGATACTTCAAAGCCAGGCCTATCATTATAGATGTTTTCTCTAAAGTTGCTTTGTTTTTACCCCTCATTATTCCTCAGCATATATTTTTTTTCATGAAGTTATTTTTTTGCCAAGCCGCCATGCCTTCCTTATGCTGTAGGCTGATCTCACAGTATGTCGGCTTTGTAATATCACGCTGCATAGCTAACAGTCTGTATGGGGCAGAAACTTAAGTTTTAATTCGATTTAATGAGGCTCGATTCTGCGCCACTGCAGGCGGTCCTGCTGTTCCTTTTGCCCCGTGGTGTTGGCATTAGTGCCTGTTGGGCTGTAGGCTGAAGCAGAGCAGTTGCTGGTGTGGTTCGCTGCAGGGCAGCATAAATTGCTGGTGCTGGAGCCACGGAGGGGACAAGAATGAGCAGCTGGAAGCAGAGGAATGAAAGGGTAGGACTGCTGCTTTTTAGTGGCGCCACAGGGTTATGAGGTAAGGCCAGTATTTATGGGCCTTTCCATGACTATAGGTAGAAAAATCAAATATAAAATATCAAATAATACCAAACCAGTATGACGTGCTAGCCCATAAGAGATGCTTCCTTTTCTTTGTAGAGGGAGATGATCTAATTGACATACCATCCTAAATGAATGAAGTCAGGTCAAGTTATTGAAAAATAGTAAGCTGAAGATTTGGGTCAGTACTGGATTTGGATGGTTTGTTACTGAAAGGCAAAAAAAAAAATCTTTGGAAGACATTTTGCACAGGTCCTAGAGGTTAATTTGACAGATGTTCACTTTGGAAACATCTGGTATTACTGTTCCTCTCCCCGCTCTCTCTGCTGCTTCTCTCTTCCCACAGCTATTGTGTAATTGTCCCTCTGCAGGAAGTAATTTCCCTCACTTTTTTGCTACTGGACGGGAATGTGCGCCTGCTAATCGTCTGGGGACAGCACCAACTAAATCCTGTTTGCTCTCTTTGAAGACTGTTTGGTCTAATCCTGCTGGCTTTCCTGCAGCAAGTAGAGGAGTACTCCCATATTCCCTGTTGCCAGTGGCTATTTGGCAACAAACACCTCTTGGGCCCCGATGAGAAAGTGCAATGACGTTGGCAGCAGTCATAGATTCCCTCCATAAGAGGGTATCTGTGCATGGCTGTATGCAGAGAGTATTTCTTCCAGTCAGTTCCATCCCTCCGTCTTTTTCTTCAGCTCAGCTCGGATGGAGGCTAACGGTCTTTCAACTCATTTCTTTCTGTAGTCTACTGTGTTTGACTAGCACCCTTGACTTTAATCTCAAATATGTAATATTTCAGTGTGATCTTGCTTCATCATGCTAGTCAGGGTTGGCCATTACTCACCTTCAAACATAAGGTGCCAGTAGCCTAGTAAGGTTGGGTTATTTGATTTATTAATAGCTATCATGTGCAGGTAACAAAATTAATTGGTAACTATTATTCTAAAAGTGTACTGTTCAAAGCTATGTTTAGCCTAGAAGTCTGATTTCTGTAGGAATTAGGGAGGGAGACGTTAGGTGTCCAGCTGTGAAAAGCAGACTATTGAAATCATAAAGATACTTACCTTATTTCATGTTCTTAATTTGATGTATTTCGGTATGACTTGGATCTTTCATACCAGTCATTGATGAAAGTCAAATTCAGCTGTGCTGGTGTCATTAGAGTGTAAAACTGTATTGTTAGAAGTTGTGGTCCTTCTGTGGAGAACCCACTTTGACCTGGCTCTTCAGGTAGAATCTAAAAAAAAACAATTCTCTGACAACAGAGCAGTTTTGCACTCTTCTCCCAGGACGTCTTATCAACTGAACGTGCACTGATGTCCATTGATGTGCGCTTCTGCATTCAGTGTACCATTGATATATGCACTCCATTTAACTTGCTTTACGTAGACATTTTAAGTATGCCTGCACCCTCATGCATGCAGAATGGGGAACAAAGGGGAAGAGTCAGACATCTGTGTGCAGGTTCAGGGCTAAAAGCTCATTGTGATCACAGAGAAGCAGTGACCATGAGATGGTGGAGTTCAGGATCCTGAGATAGGTGCAAGGCGTTAAGCAGGATCGCAGTACTAGACTTCAGCAGGCTGGACTTTGGCCTCTTCAGGGATCTGCTTGGAAGAATCCCGTGGGACACAGCATTTGAGTGAAGAGGGATGGAGGAGAGCTGGCTGATTGTCAAGGATCATCTCCTTCAAGTTCAAGAACAGTCCATCCTGTTGAAGAGGAAATCGAGCCAAGGCGGTCGGAGCCCTGTATGGATGAACAAGGAGCTCCTGTTAAACATAACAAGGAGGCATACAAGAGGGGGAAGCAGGGACAGGTGACCTGGGAGGAACAGGTGGCCAAGAAGGCCAACAGTATCCTGGCTTGTGTCAGGAATAGTGTGGCCAGCAGGAGCAGGGAGGTGATTGTGCCCCTGTGCTCGGCGCTGGTGAGGCCGCACCTGGAATGCTGTGTCCAGTTTTGGGCCCCTCAGCACAAGAAGGACATTGGGGTGCTGGAGCGTGTCCAGAGAAGGGCAACGGAGCTGGGGCAGGGTCTGGAGCACAGGGCTGGTGGGGAGCGGCTGAGGGAGCTGGGGGGGTTCAGCCTGGAGAAGAGGAGGCTGAGGGGAGACCTGATCGCTCTGCAGCTCCTGGCAGGAGGGGGCAGGGAGGGGGGGTCGGGCTCTTCTGCCAAGTACTTAGCGATAGGACGAGAGGAAATGGGCTCAAGTTGCATTGGGGGAGGTTTAGATTGGATATTAGGAAAAATTTCTTCACGGAAAGGGTGGTCAAGCATTGCAACAGGCTGCCCAGAGAGGTGGGGGAGTCCCCATCCCTGGAGGGGTTCAAAAAACAGGCAGAGGTGGCACTTGGGGACATGGTTTAGTGGGCATGGGGGTGTTGGGTTGATGGTTGGACTGATGATCTTAGAGGGCCTTTCCAACCTTAATGATTCCTGGTTCTACGTTCATTAAAAAGTACTTCAGCCACCAAGCCAGGAAACATTAATTATTCCTCTCCCCTTAACTGGTTTAGTGGTGGACTTGGCACTGTCAGGTTAATGGTTGGACTGGATGATCTTAAAGGTCTTTTCCAACCTGAACGATTCTAGGATTCTGTAATACAGCGGCACCGTCCGAGCATGCAGAAATGGGGTTAGGAAGGCCAAAGTCTGTCTGGAGTTGAATGTGGTGAGATATGTAGAAGGTAGCAAGAAAAAGTTCTCGTGTTCAGTGTGGCCAAGCATTAGAACAGGTTGCCCAGAGAGCTTGTCGAGACTGCATCCTTGAAGATGTTCAAAACCCGGCTGAGCAAAACAGTCCTGAGCAACCTGCTGCACCTGATTCTGCTTTGAGTGGGAGGGGAATTGGACTCGTTGATCCGCAGAAATCCCTTCCAATTTCAAAGAGTCTGTAATCCTGTGAAATAGTGTGAAATGAAAAATGAGAACAAATTGCCTATGTTCTCTCTCATTGGAAAAAATATTACTACATTTCAGATCCAAGGGGGGGAATCAGCTGGTTCTCCAAATTCTAAGGGATTTCTCAAAGTGCCATATAAATAATTTAAATGCAAGATGTTGAATGTAACTATCTTCTGGGTTTTTTTGTTTTGGTAGTAAAACACTGACAGAGGTGTTGCAGGTGGAAGGCTGTTATCACTGGGTTTTATTAGCAATATGCTGCTTTCAGAATATTCTGTTCCAGAATGGCAGCTCTCCTTGCCTGTGGTTTTATTTTGAGGAAAATGTCTGGTGTTCTACTGTACCATTGTTCCTAGGCAGGAAAATACTCTTTAAAAATGGTTTCAAATCATTCTGTTCTCTTTTCATCTGCAAGTTGTGTTGCATTTTTTGCTCTCTGTTTTTATCTCTAAGACTCTCCCAGGAATGTGAATTTTTATTCTGGTCTTTAGGTAAACCTGCTAGATAACTCCTATTGATGAAGTTGTCACTTAAAGACTTTTTTTTCCCCACTGATTTCTCCAGGTATGGCTTGTCTGGCAGTGATGTCCTAGATAATGTGGCGTATGCTCGAGGTTTTAACACAGATCATCAGACCCAGCTCCTGTATCAGGCATCTGCTATGATGGCTGAATCACGGTAAGAAGACTGATTTAGATGCAGTGATTTTTTGTGCGGATACATATTCATGTTATAAAGCTACCTGTAGATGATGAACAAGCGTGAGAGAAGTATAGATTACACAATTGTCAAATGTCAACGTAATTGTTTACTTTGGAAGTTAACTTTTTTGAAATGTACTCGCTTTCTTCAGTGCTTAGCTCCATTAGGTCAGGTTTTGTTATTCTTGTCGTGGTTCAGCCCCAGCCAGCAACTCGGCACCACGCAGCCGCTCGCTCACTCCCCCTACCCCGATGGGATGGGGGAGAGAAGACAGTGAGAAACACTCCTGGGGTGAGATAAGAACAGTTTAATCATTGAAATAAAGTAAAATAGTAATGATAATAGTAACAGTATAATAATGATAATAATAATAATAATGATATCCAAAGCAAGTGCTGCCCAATGCAATTGCTCCCCACCCGCCGACCGATGCCCAGCCAGTTCCCAGCAGCGATGGCTGCTCCCCGGCCAACCCCCCCAGTTTCCATACTGCCCATGACGCCGTATGGTATGGAACGGCCCTTGGGGCAGTTGGGGTCAGCTCTCCTGGCTGTGCCCCCTCCCAGCTCCTTGTGCCCCTGGCAGAGCAGGGGAAGCTGCAAAGTCCTTGCCTGGCATAAGCAGCGCTGAGCAACAACTAAACCATCAGCGTGTTATCAACGTTATTCTCCTACTAAATCCAAACCACAGCACTGTGCCTGCTACTAGGAAGAAAATTAACTCCATCCCAGCCCAAACCAGGCCAATTCTCAAACTGGATTATGCTTCGGCATATCCAGATAATAAGCCTGGTGTATCAGCAGCCAGTTGTGAGTTAGTGCCTCTTGCTGTTGAAGTGTTGGACGACAGCGACTGACTTGAACGGTGACGACTGATGTTACTTTACAAAGAACAAGTGCCAGGCTGAGAAACAATTATAAAGGTCAGTTTATAATTGCTTTCAGAAATAAAGAGTGTTGATTTAGAGCATGCCACGCACCGAGAAAACCTGTGCAGACAGCTCTAGTTTGAAACTAGGATTTATGGACAGCTTTAGAGTGGTATGAGGTGTATAGGAACCTGTCTACAGAATATCTGTGGTGTCAAAACATTAAATTCTGCGCTAGTTTATATAAGAGTACAATAAATCCAAGTTTCGAATCATGCAGCGACTTTCTTTGGGTTCACTGGGTTTTATTGTATAGTTAGCAATCTGAATGTTACAATCAAGTCAGTGTTGTTAAAAATGGTAATTCTGCTAACTGACAGGTCGAGGGGAGCTTACATCCGCATGCCGCCTTACAATTTGCCAGGCACTGTCACACTCCAGTGGAGGCATTATTCATGCTGGAAATGTTTGTGAGAACGTTGTGCTTTATCGTTTCCAGATACGCGCTGCTGATAGTGGACAGTGCCACAGCCCTTTATCGGACAGATTACTCGGGCAGAGGTGAGCTGTCAGCTAGGCAGATGCATCTGGCCAGATTTCTGCGTATGCTTCTTCGACTTGCAGATGAGGTAAATGAACTTTCTTGTTTTGTCTAAAGGACTGGTGATCAGTTTTCTTCCTCTTGTAAAGCTTAGCGATTTTGTACAAATGGCTTTCTGCCTGCTCGGTTGTCTGCTTCCATTTTGTTTTGAGAGGCATGATAGAGTGGTTATGGACAGCAGAAGTGCATGTGTTATGTTTTTGTTTTGGTTTTTTTTCCTCCCGTTGTTGAGATTGTGGAAAATAAATGTGTTTTGATTTGTTGCTTTTCTCCTTACAGTTTGGTGTGGCAGTTGTGATCACTAACCAGGTGGTAGCACAAGTAGATGGAGCAGCCATGTTTGCTGCAGATCCCAAAAAACCTATTGGAGGAAATATCATAGCACATGCTTCCACCACGAGGTGAGAGAATAGATTATCATCCCATTAGCCTTGTTTTGGAAGATTTTGTGAAACTAGCTAAGTACCTTTAAATTCTGGGTTTCTACGTAGTCTGTCAGTGGCAAGTCCAGCCTGCTTCTCAGCAAACGAACGCTGCTCTGAGCACTCATTAATCTGCAGTAGAACCAACACAACATTTTCCGAAGTTCTTACAGCTCCGCAGTCTGCTGTATTCATGTACTAACGTAATGTTTTAACGGTAATGATTTACTGAAAGTAGCTATGCACCCTTACCTGTTCTGTTTCCTTCTCCCTATAGACTGTATCTGCGAAAAGGCCGAGGTGAAACCAGAATATGTAAAATTTATGACTCTCCTTGCCTTCCTGAGGCTGAAGCAATGTTTGCTATTAACGCTGATGGAGTGGGAGATGCTAAAGACTGAAGACTCCATTTCATCTCCCGTGTAACCCAAGACTCGGTGTCTGTAAACGGCTCCTTTCTTTGTGGCACCTTACAGATGCTTTCCCAATGCAGCGCTGGGAATGCTGGCAGAGGAATCTGTTGTATTTCAGCGTAGAAGCCCATCAGGTGAATACACTTAGATACACCAAAGGGTTTTGCTTGCAAAAACCCTCTTGGGCTTTAGTCACAAGTTAGATTAACATGGTTTCTTGAGAACATTTTCAGAGGACCGTAGCCTTTGCATTTTCCTCACGGCTGCTCCAGCTGGATTCTACCGGTGGACATAGTGCAGTAAAATTTAAGAGGGCATGGCCATAGTTCATAACTTGGTGAATTTGAAGTAGCATTGATGGGTTTGTCAAATATGAAAAGTGGTGACTTAAATACTTACTGCATTGCTTTAATGATAAAGTAAAGCAGAATGGTATTCCCCAGTAAGAATTTGAGGATATTGCTGGGATTGATGATGATCACAATCCATATTCTTTATGTTAATTTTGTTTTGGATGCTGCAACATGCTGGTTTTTGGGAACTGTTAATTTACATTTCAATTACATTTTTTTTGTGTTTCATTAATTCTCTGTGGAAATCTGCTTTTAATAAAAAGGACCATGAAAATATTGATGACAGTACAGGTTTCTGGGATTCAGCCAGCTGTTAATTCAGACCAAGGCATTTTTTATCTGCAGGTAGGAAGAAGATGCATAAATCTTCAATGAATCTCAGTCTGGATTTTTTTTTTTCCCCCTCCTGATGCATTTTGTTAGCATTATCTCCTTGATTTGGGATGTGCAGTGCAACTGTGCTGTAAGTCCCCTGTAGATGTCTTTTAAGAGTTTTTGAGGTTAAAAAGGTTCTTTTGTATTATGCATTATTTTATATAAGCTGTGCTATTGTGAACTACTCTAAACTTGATTAAAGGGAATAATATCATAGCAGTGGCTGGCAGCAAAAATATTTTCCTCGTTCTTTTCCTCTGGCACAATTTTTTTGGGGCAAATAATGAAGAATACAGTGGGATCCAACTGTCTCTTACAGGCTAGCAGGCATAAGCTACATTTATTCAGGTACATGAATACTTGTGCTATATTAACTACTCAGTCTCCTGAGAGGGTGAGTTGTCTGCTGCCTCATTTACAACTGAATGCCTTTGTTCTTAAATTCTGCGTAGCCACAGAGTGGCTGCTGTTCTATTCGGAAGATGCGCCCAAAAGGCCATTGCTGTCGCCGTTGCCTGCAGCTCAGTTTCAAGAATTAAAACTCACATTAAAACGTTAACTAGGGGATTAAATTGGCGTTGAACTCATCAGTAAGGAACTGAGGTGTTCAGTCTTTTTAGTGACAGAGGTTCAGCTCTTGTTACCCTTGCCCTGCACGTAGGCGCAGGTGGTACAACGTACCGTCTAGGATTGCTCTAGTCGGACGTGACCAATTATAAAATCCCGTTACTGCCTGAAGTGTGCGAGCTGTTAGTCGTGTTGGCTGAAACCTGGCATGGATGGGGCCTGTAACAGGCTGACACTTGACAGGGAAGTCTGGCAAAGGCTTTCGGCTGCCCTCAGGAGCGAGGCTGGAATAAAAGGAATTGTTATGCCCTGTCAAAAAAGTCCAGGTGTCTGAGAATTTCTAGCCATCCTGGTTTTGAGTGTCCCAAGAAATGGACAGAAAATGGTCTCTGGAATAAAATGTGCTGTCCCTGCAGAAAGTTGCTTGCAGGTAATGAAGTCATGAGCCTTACAGTCTGTCCTCACCTGCCCTGCTGCTTGTCAGACCTTTGCAGTTTTTCCTTTTTTATGTGTCGGATGTGCTCTACTGTAGGCATGGCTTGAGAATCGGACTGTAACGGCAGTCCTGGTTCGTGCAGGCGAAACGCAGGGGCTGTGGTGTTCCCAGGAGGTTACCTGGCTCAGGTGCGTAGGGGGAAAACCACTGGGCCAGCAGGGAACAGAGGCAGATTTCCTCCAGAGTTCTTGACCAAGAGAAAACTCGGACAGGCTGGGAAAACCGGCTGAGCAGTAGGAGCAAGTGAAGAGAAGAGAAACGGGGCAGAGGGAGGTGAGGAGTGGGACTCAGCGGGCAGAGGGGCTGTAAGGGGAGCACAAGGTAAGGTGACACAGAATCGGGGTAAGGGAACAGGCTGAGAAAGAACAGCTGGAGAGCTACGGAAAGGCAACAGATGGTGCAGCTTGTAGCTGGGGAGATCCTGGCTCCGGTGCGTGCCCCTCTGCGGCGTTTTCTTTCATGTAACTGTGCTACGTTTTCAGTCGCCCCTAATATAAAATCATAGAATCATCGAATCGTTTAGGTTGGAAAAGCCCTTTAAGATCATCCAGTCCAACCATTAACCTACATTACCGAGTCCACACTAAGCCAATCAGGGGTAGACCAGACTGAACCATGTCCCCAAGTGCCACCTCTGCCCGTTTTTTGAACGCTTCCAGGGATGGGGACTCCCCCACCTCTCTGGGCAGCCTCTTCCAATGCTTGACCACCCTTTCCGTCAAGAAACTTTTCCAAATATCCAATCTAAACCTCCCCTGGCGCAGCTTGAGCCCATTTCCTCTCGTCCTAAATGGAACATTAAAATCCTGTTTCAAATTGCAGATGGGGTTGAACGATCTGAATACGAACTTTTTAATAGGCTTAAAGATTCCGCGAGGACCCGAAGGTTGGAAGCAGCGCTTCCTCCCTGCTGCCCCTGAGCTCGGCAGCTTGCTGGGTCAGCATGCAGCGAACGCGGGACGCTGAACACCACTGGTGCTTACTGAATTGCACTGCTGGCTGTTTCTCCCGAGTTTTACAAATATAAATGTTATTTAATATGAGGGCTTAAAACTACGCGGCTTGCAGCTTCGGGGTGATTTCCAGCAATCCACCGTGCTGGGGGGAGTGGTTTTTTTTTTTTTTTGAAGCCCTGCTTCGTAAACATGTACATATCATGTGCTCTCATTTAGGTATAAAGGACGCTTTAGGGGACGATGGAACACTTTGTTTTATTGCTTTTGGCTACACTGAAATGCAATGTCATGTTTGTTTTCTGCTCTGTTGCTTCTCTTCAGCGTCCTTTATGGAGAGGGAGTTTTGCCATGCCTATATCATGGTTCTCTGCTGTTTGTATTCTGTATAATTTTTGTATATAATGTTTGTATGCTGTATAATTCAATCTTAATAGAACCTTTTTTATTTTTTCTCCTTTTCTAAGTCCACTTAGGACTTTGAACAACTAAAATTACATCTGGAGTCCTCTCTTCATGTAACGCTCAGCACGGAAACTGATTTTCCTAACAGCCTGCAGTATGTCTCTTAGCTAGCTAAGGTTTGTCACGTTGATGGGGAGAGCAAAGGTGAAGAAACTAGGAAATATTTGTTCCTCCTCTCTAAGCTCTTACACGGCTTAGGCTCTGAACTCGGGGGGGATTTTGGGGGGGTTTGTTTTGTTTCTTTTAAACCGAGAACCTTTTTCGAAAGATCTTTCTCAAGTCATCTTATGACATCCCTGTGGCAGCTGCACAGGCAAGTATTTCCGCAGAGGGTTTAAGTTGCTTATGACACAATGCTATGAAACGCTAATTAAATAAGCTTATTGTCAACATTGCTTTAACCTCAAGGAGGCGTAATTAATATCCCTTTAGTAAACATTTTTCCCGCTGTCTCCTTGAAATACTTCTCTCAGTGTTTCCCCAAAAGTTCCTCTCAAGGCAGTGCAATATGATTAGAAATCATACTCACTTTTAAATTCTAAAGCGTGTTTGTGTGTGCATGTGTTTGCGCAATCGCCTGGCTCCCGTTCATCCAGCCAAGTTTTGCTACGTTTGAACCCACGTCCAGAGGTGAAGAGGAAATGATAACCCATTTGAAATGCCTACAGAAATACGTGCATCGCTCTGAACTACTAATGCCCTTACTAGAGCACGATGGAGAGCCGTCTGATTAATTAAAGCGCCGTAGATGGAGTCTGCAGTGTTTTGTTTCCATGTTTCCCATGAGAGTTGCGTTAGTCTCCCGACAGCTGCCCGCTCTGCTGCCGGGATCAGCCGGGCAGCGACCAGTCACGCAGGCTCTGCCCGGCCCCGGCTCCATCGGGTCTGAGTTTCCAGAAGAGCCGGCGATGCTCTTGGCTACACCTGCATTTTGTACACAAATTAAAAACCCCTCGGGATACAAACGCGAAGCGCGGAGACCGCAAGGAGCGAAGCGCGGCTCGCCGTTGGAAGGACGCAAGCGTAGTGGCACGTGGAGAAATATTCCCGTGTTTTCTTTAGGAGAGGACAGCCCCACCTCCCAGCTCCGTGCATCCTTGCGGGCAGATAGCTGGCTGACTGTAGCGTTGTGTGTGGTCAGCCAAGCTTTCCCAACTACCTGGCTTTAGAAGCAAATGCTAAATCTTTCCAGATGCGGCCGCGGCGGTGCAAGTGTGAAGTGCTGCTGCGTGGCTCCAGCTCTCCCTTTTTGTTCGCTTTGCAAATACACAAACCCACTGTGCGACAGCAGCGCTTCCCCAGGATGTGTTTTTAATTACGGGGAGGAATCTTTCTTCAAGGTCACAACCCAGACCGAAAACAATCGGGTCTCTGCACATGGTTTATGTTATCTCAGCTCAATACACTCGGTGCCCCGGTTTCCCCACCGAGACCGGAGCTGCAGCATCAGCTTTACGCGGCCTCGTACAACCCATGTTGCTCCAGACGAAGGTAGAAGCGCCCCGAGTCTACGGTAACACTGAGTTATTTTCACTGCGCAACTTGAGTTAATGAAACCGCACAAACTTGCACTTGAGGTTATCGCTGCGCTGCTGACCTTGGCTAATCGGGTGTGTTAGTCTTGGCTGTGGCGGTTTTCCTCCTAAGATCAGCGTGCGTTTCTGCTGTGGAAATGCAGCTTTAAGACTCCGTCCTTCCTGGCGCAGACCTCGCTGTTGGTGGTGAAAAGAACTGCAAAGACAAATTGTCGACTCCTGCTGCGACTACGACAACCAAGTACCATCCCCTGTTCCCCTTTCGCAGGGCTTCAGCCTTTATTTTCAGGAGAAACTTGAAAATATAAATGGGTTTCTCTGTGCCATAGAGTTGCATCGTTCTTCACTCAGTCTCGCTCAAATGGGCTGTGTCCTCTTCCAGGAAAGGCAGAAAAAATCTGCACAACCCAGCCACAATCTGGGGCTTTAAACAAACTTAGAGCACTTGGTAGTTGTTTGTCCGATCATTCAATATGAGACGCAGAGGAGGTTTTAATAACTGTAACCTCGAGGCTTCAAACAAATGAAGGAAAGTA